AGCATTCATCTCGCAACTTCGTATCGTCCAGATTGTTTCTCAACAAGTATAAAAACCCTCTTCTTGTCTCAAAGTTTATCATTATCTCCCCGTACACCGTTGGAGTTAAATTGGCCCTTCATTCATATAATTCTCCCATTAACGGTTACAATACCCAACGACCCAAGATATTATTATTACTTACTAAACAATAATTTTGTAAAGTATTTATTTTAGTATTAAAATTTAATTAAGTTTACAACGCCATTCACTAGATTTCACGACTCGTCTTAACGCCTATTTTATTTACAAGATGTTGATGATATTGATTATTCACTAACCCTAGTATTCCCCTAGAAAAGACGTCATAACGTATTTGTTAATAATCAATTTTAATAAACATAAGTGTTGTTCTCTTTTAGTTTGTTTTAACTGTTAATAATATGATATCAAGCGAAATACTCAAGTATTGAAAATTGTCGATCGCTTAAGGAATATGAAAACTTTTAGGCATTGTGATAAGTACTTTCAACGGGCAAGAATAAACCCAAAACGACTATATGAGAAAGTGCAAAGAAAAATGAACACTAGTGAGATAGACAATGAAACAAATTCTAACAACGATGAGAAAAAAATATTACTTAGATTAAATACGTCCATACGAGCATTATTTAAATAGGTTTAATATTGCATAATATATAGTATACTATATAGGCAGATGCCTTTACTTCCAAGCTATCTAAACTTCCACAGCAAAAAAGAAAGTGGTTAAAAAATATTGAATTAAAATTTAAATCAATAGACAAATGTTAGACGCAAGAAAACCCGGATGGAAAAAAAAACAAAATAAATTTATTGATGATATTATCTAGATTGGTATTTTTGTACTCTATTGGAGATTTCGCCTGCTTTAGTCCATTACTTTATTTTTCCAATGGGTATTTTTAATATCAACTTTTACCAATTTTTATAAATATTTATCTAACGTAATTTTAATAATTACAAATTATTTTGAGCAAAAAAATTTGTTATAAGAAAATGTTTCATTGCACCGTTTAAAACCTTAAATATTACGCTGCTTTTTTTACAAACAAAAATGATGTGATAATGATAAATACAGTAATTTGTAGAATAGTCATCCTAATTATTAAATTGTGCCACATTTCTAGATACGTTACATTGGATTATTCTAATTCTAAAGAATTTTCTGATCGGCACTTGCAGAAAAAAAGGAATGTTCTGAAAATTCTAAAGAATTTCTCAATCTGCATTCTAGAATGTAAAAAAAAAAGGAATATTCTATTACACTTTTATTCAATCAATGCACTCTTTTATTGGATAATTTCCTATTAAATAATTGCGACTACAAAGATAAAATTGATACCTCGTATTTTTGAACATGTTATAAATGGGATTTTATCGTTTCCAGATCAAAATTATTCAGCATAGCGATAATATTTATTTACAATTACCATGAATATAATTAATCTTGTTGATAATAATGATTTATCAACTTCATGCATAAAAAATAAAGTAACTATGAAAAGAAATCCTTTAGTTAGAAAGTGTAATAGATGTAAGAGGTCGAAATTTCATAAGGATGAAAACGCTCAGCAATGTAATTTTTGTGATCAAATAATTTTAAGCGGAAATGAATTTATAGATAATTTGCTTATTAAACTAAATAAGCAAAGCGTTTTTTTAGAATTTATTCCATATGAACAATTTGGTAATGTTACTTATCTTGCTAAAGGAGGATTTAGTGAAATATATAAAGCGACATATTCGCATGGCATAAAAAATTATTGGGATAATCAGAAGAAAGTATTTGTGATTAATAATGATAGTACAACAGTTGTACTTAAAAGTTTGAATAATTCTAAAATTATAAGTAATGATTTTTTGAATGAGGTTTGAATTGTTACAATTATATCATTCCCATAACTTATTACTATTAAATTTTATCAGTTAATTTATTTTATTAATTTCAGCTAAAAAATTATTTTCAATGTTCAGATGGTAATAATTATGATATACTTAAATATTATGGTATCACACAGCATTCCGAAACACAAAATTATATGATTGTGATGGCCTTTGCATCAAACGGTGACTTGCATAATTATATCTCAAAAAACTTTTTTAAATTGACTTGGTATCAAAAATTATCAATACTACAATAGATAGCGTTTGGACTCGATACAATTCATAAGAAAAAAATTATTCATCGAGATCTTCATAGTGGTAATATACTTGTTGATAATCCAAATTTTAATTTAGTGAGAGGTATAATGATTGGAGATTTTGGAATAAGCAAACCATCAAATTCGATAACAGAAACAAAAGAGATATATGAGTGATTCCATATATTGCACCTGAGATATTTAATGAAGAAAAATATACGACAGCATCAGATATTTACAGTTTCGGAATGATTATGTGGGAAATGACAACTGGCCAAAAGCCCTTTTCTGATCGTAATCATGATATCTTATTCTTGATATTCTTAATGGTCTTCGTCCCGAATTAATTAACGATTTACCGCGGTCTTATATTGATTTAATGGAAAAATGTTGGGACGCAAATCCATTAAACAGACCAAGTGCTAATGATATTGCGGGATCTATTATGAATATTCGTTCTAAAGGACTTCACAAAGAAATAAAATTCCCAGAAAATATAATACACAGGCCTATAAAAAAGGTAAACCCACAGGCAATATATACTAGTAGGCCACTAAGTTCTTTAGTTAACACTGCTCTCCGGATGCAATTAAACTATAATACTCTTACAAGTAGGTTTGCTCAAATTACTACTTTGACTTTCTTTTTCTTAATTTAATGTATACTAGTTTACTTATTTATAAACATATAAATAGGTTATTCTGTTTTATCAGGTATCTACTCGATAATCATGAAAATTGGTACTATAATTATTTTATTTTATAAACTGTTAAAAATCACTTTTCTATAAACCATCTTTTAGAAGTTTCATTCAATTTTATAGACAACAAAAAGTATAATAAACGATGTCCTCATTCTAATTTTTCTTATGCATTTTAATGATTTAATATATATTACATATACTTGCTTATTTACTGTAATTAAATAATAGCACTAATAGAAATAATGAAATAAAAACATCAACCCGGAATAGACAATTATCG